TGGATCTCCTAAATGGCACTGGTTCTTGAGGTTGTTGAGTTTGTTCTTCTGGAACAAGGAGTTGTTCAACATTGTCATCTTGAGGTTCCAGATTTACTTCTTGAGCAACAACAGGTATAGGAACCTGAATATTATCAAAAATAACTATATGGATTGGATCTGAAGCCAATTCCTCCTCAAAAGCAATGTCTCTGACCTTATTTCTCCCCCCAAACTCAACATCCTCAAAGAATGTTGATGTTCCCGTCTCAAAAATATTCCTTAGAGTGGGATCATAGAACTTATAGCCCCTAGAGCGTTCAGAGTACCCAATAAAGTAGCTGCTAACTGTTTTAGAGTCTAATTTCTTTTCATTTGTCCTATAAGGGCTTGCCTCAGCTAGACATCCCCAAATATGTAAGTACTTTAAACTGGGCTTTCGACCAGTCCAGAGCTCATACGGTGTTTTAGCAACTGTTTTACTTGGCACTCTGTTCAGAATGTAAACTGATGTCTTTAGTGCTTCTCCTCAGAGTGACTCTGGTAAAGAAGAATGAGTAATCATACTTCTTATCATACCCTTAAGAGTCTTATTTCGTCTTTCAGCTACACCATTCATGCTAGGTGAACCCGGTATTATGTACTGTGAGACGATACCGCATTCCTCTAGGTATCTAGCAACTGGTCCTGGACGTTGCTCACCTGAACCATCATATCTGTCATAGTACTCACCACCACGATCAGATCTAACGGTTTTAATTCTTTTGTTGAGTTGATTCTCAACTTCAGCTTTATAGGCTTTGAACATGTCCAGAGACTCAGATTTCTCATGAATGAGATATAGATACCCATAACGTGAGTAATCGTCTATGAATGATATAAAATATTATTGACCATTCCAAGATGCCGTAGGGAATGACCCACAAATATCCGTATGTATCAATTCTAAGACATCCAAAGATCTATTGGCACCTAATCTCTTAACTTTGGTCTGTTTTCCCTTGATACATTCAACACATACGTCGAAGTCCGAAAAATCAAGGGAATCCAAAATGCCATCAGACACAAGACGCTCAACTCTACCTTTTAAGATATGACCCATACGCTTATGCCATAATGTCGCCGAATTTTTCTTATTTAATTTACGCATAGTACCATGTGATTCCACATACAAGGATTCATTATAAGAAGCAAGTGTATCGAGCAAATATAGGTTGTCATAAATACTCAAGTAACCAGTTCCCACAATATTTGAATTAAAAGATAAACTGAATTGATTATTTCCAAATGAACAAGAATAACCTGATTTGTCCAATACAGAAACTGAAATCAAATTTCGTCTAAAAGACGGTACTACAAAAGTCTCTTTTAAGTCCAAATAAGAACCAGTTCCTAATAGCAACCTAAAATGCCCAATTGCTTCCACATCTACCGATTGACCGTCGCCCACAAAGATGTGTCTTTCAACATCACTTGGCTTTCGGTAGCTCAGACAACCCTGCATAGAAACACTTATGTGAGTAGTAGCACCAGAGTCTAACCACCAAGTGTTTCTAGGTACTAAAGCTAAATTAACCTCAGAACAGACTAAAGTAAGGAACGTACCCTTATTAGCATGTCACACGTGATATTTGATACAATCCTTCTTTACGTGTCCAGGCTTGTTACAGAAGAAACAATCCTGATTATCCTTATGTTGTTTCTTCTGAACTGGACCCTTAGCAGCTTCATTATCATTCTTTCTTTTCTTGCTCTTATCCTTAGAGGCATAAGCCAAATGAGCACTTTCAGTCTTATCTTGCTTCAACCTGTCTTCTTCTTGCACACAATATGAAATGAGCTCATTTAGAGTTCATTTCTCCTTTTGGCAGTTATAACTGACCTTAAACTGATTGAATTGTGCAGGAAGAGACAATAGAACCAGATGCACCAATAACTCATCACAAAGATCGAGTTTAAGTGCCTTAAGCTTTGAAGCAATATGAAACATTTTCATAATGTACTCCCTGATATTTCCTTTGCCCTTATACTTCATTGAAATCAAGCGAGCTAAAAACGTGCTTGTTTCTACCTTATCGTTTTTCGCAAAACGTTTCTCAATTTTGGTAAGAAAATCTTTAGCCTTAGTAATCCCTTCTGATTCTATGCCCCTGAAAGCTTCCGGAACGCCACGCTTAATGATCATTAGACTCATGCGATTTGAACGCTCCCACTTCTCATACTCCTTCTTTGCATCAGGAGTGCTTTCCGCAGTGAGAAGTTGGGGTTGTTCAGTCCTTAATGCAAGGTCTAGATCCATGTAGCCAAGAACAATTAATATGTTCTCTTTCCAAACCTTGAAATTTGTCCCATTGAGCATGGGAATTGAGTTGATGTTAGCAGAAATTGTTGTAACAGATGCATTAGCTGAAATAAACAAAAGATACTCACATTATTAACCGTAATCAATAAAATTCAAATAATAACAAATCCCATCTCAAGATGTCTGGCATAACATTAATATCAAGTCTTTGGACAGTAATATTAACTTGTAAGTGATACCTTGTTGCAATGATCAAACATTGACAATAACTCATGTCAAATAATGAAACTATCTTTGGATCGATTCATTATTCACATGTAAACCTTATAATTATCACACGTTTATCATCGCAGATGTGTATACAGTCTAAATAAATATTAACCTTCCTTTGGGCCGATTAAATATTTACACGAAAGCATACACACAAACATCTCACATTCCTCATGAACAATCTACACGAGAGAGGTTACTTTGGCAACTTCTTGTTTCAATTAAACAATTAGAGTGAAAGACAACCTTAATACCTTAGTGTCATAATATTTGAATTAAATAATTGATTAACTACCAAATTAAAATTAAATTAAATTAATTTAATTTAAATTTTCATAGCTTAAATAGGGCCTCATTGCTTAATTAGTTAAATTAAGCATACTAAAATTGGGTCCAAAACCAAATAGAGTTAAGTGGGCTGTGCCCTAACTCAAATTGTCTGCAGCCTTCTTCTTTCACCCGACGGAAAAGAAGAACAATAGAACGAAAATTGTCTGCAGCCTTCTTCTTTCACCCGACGGAAAAGAAGAACAATAGAACGAACGCAAGGTTCGTTTGAGAACGAACGCGCCTTCTTCTTTCACCCGACGGAAAAGAAGAACAATAGAACGAACGCAAGGTTCGTTTGAGAACGAACGCGGGGTTCGTTTGAGAACGAACGCGGGGTTCGTTTGAAGTGAGCAAGAGACTTGCCTGAGGATGAACGTGGGGTTCAATATGAGAACAAACGCGAGGTTCGACTTGAGAACGAACGCGAGGTTCGACTTGAGAACGAACGTAGGTTCGACTTGAGAACGAACGCGAGGTTCGACTTGAGAACGAATGCAGGTTCGACTTGAGAATGAACGCAGGTTCGACTTGAGAACGAACGCGAGGTTTGACTTGAGAACGAACACAGGTTCGACTTGAGAACGAACGCAGGTTCGACTGAAAACGAACGCGAAGTTCGACCTGAGAATGAACGTGATGTTCAACTTGAGAACGAACGCAATGTTCGTTTGAATCGAGCGCGAGGCTCGCCTGAGAACGAACGCGAGGTTCGTCTGAATCGAGCACGAGGCTCGCCTGAGAACGGGTAAGTCCTCAAGCCCTTTTTTTCCTTTCTTTCACTCGTTAGGGTTCAGATCTGAAACGCCGCCGCCACTTGGGCTACAGCCAACGAGCACCCCTTAGGGTTCGTTCTAAAAATCGCCGCCGCTGAAACAACTCCGGCGAGGAGTTTTGGTGAACAACGACAGATCAAAAGACAAAATATTTTTTTTTTCGAACTCAACCATTCAGATCCAAACCTCAAAAATTGAATCAAACACAAAAGAAATGAACTTTAGAGTTCATAAGTGCTACAAATCCAAAATTGAAAGAAAAACCAAACAAAAAGAAATTTTTTACTGTTCATCCGAACAGTAACAAATCAAAACCGTTACTGTTCATCCATGAACAATTCTTAAAAAAAGCCACAAATTAAGATCAAAGAACCTTAATTTTAATCTTAATATCTTAGAACAAATCACGATGGCTCTGATACCACTTGTTAGATCTAAAATTTAAGATCTAAACCTTAAAGCCATGATTTAATTCAAAGAGATTAACAAGAATCAAAAGGTACGGAAGCATATACCTGAATCCATTGAGGAAAACCTGATTAGGGTTTTGATGATCTTCTAAGCTTAGGGTTTCTCCCTTATGGATCTCTTTAGATAGGGATAAGAGAATGAGAGTGGCTAACCCTAGATTAGGGACCATAACCCCATATATATAGGTGTTGTACATTTGTAATTTGGCCCCTCATCAAATTACAATTACAACCTGGTATCTGCACGTATAACCCCATGATTTATTTAAATACCCATTAACCCAAATTGATTGATCACTTTAAGTGGGTTATCCTTAAAGATAGCAATACACATTGATTAATCATATGTGCCCACAATTAGATTTAATTAGATTTAAATCCAACAGTGTTACCATCGGTCACGGCACCTTTGAGGTGTTTCTATTATAACGTTTGTGAATATGGATGATTTGAGGGGCATATGTAAAAAAGCAATTAAAAAAAAACCAAAACATTGTGCTCACCCGCCATCCTTTGTGCTCACTTCATAAAGGGCGTTTCTACGGGGACCCCAAATAAGGAATCCAATGGGAGGACAGGTGAGCTGCCCCCTCCGGTTAGATGATGTGCCCCCCTCCGGTTGGATGATGCACCGTTCATGAATAGTATATCATCTAACCGGAGGGGGACAGTTCACCAGACCTCTTGGGCCCTAATTTGGGGTGCCCGGGCATTAATCCTTCATAAAATATTCACAAAAGAATCAAAAACCCACACTATATAACCCGCTAGCCTCTCCCTCTCCTCCCCCATCACACAAATATATATTCTCACTCTCTCTTCTCTACAGGGAGCTCCGTCAGCTCCGTCACCGTCAAAAACACCCCTCCCGTCAAGATGGGATCCCCTCTCTTCTCCGAAGTGATAACGGAGATATTAATCCGGCGGCCGCCCGTGCAATTTCGGGAGCATTTTTCGCCGGGCTTCCTTCTCCCCCCCCCTTCGTTTTCCCCCCAGTGGGTCATGCTCGTGGCCAGGGTCAGGCTCTCGCCGCGACCCCACCCCGCCGGCCGCCAAGAAGAACGCAGGCTCGGCGACTACCTCCTCGAAGAGGAGGAGGGCGTCGGCGATCACGCCGTCGTCGCCAAGTGCGCCGAGATACAGAACGCCATCTCTGAAGGTAATTAACCGTGCGCATGCTCGCTCGGTTAGCTAGCTAGCTACGACTAGATTATTAGTATATTTTTTTTAGAAAAAATGATCTTTTTCGCGAAAAAAAGAGTCTTTTTTTAATTTATATTTTGAGTTGCTGCATGCGGAGTGAATTTTATGTGAAAATGGTTTTTCTTTTTTTTTATTTTATTTGTAAAGGGTTTGTTTTACAGTTGCTAGTTTTATGAGGAACTTTAGTTTCGTCTATAATTGAAAATATTGAACTTTTTTTAGGTAGGCGGCTTTTTCTGGAAGAATATCATATGTTTTAACATTATGGGTGAATTTACATACCTTTTTTCTTGGGTCCTAATACGTCTAATCACAAACAACCTTTAAATTTCTAATATCATTGTTAGAATATAAAATTTTAAACTTCAACTCTCACTATAAGTTCGAGGTTTTTTGTAATAGTTAAGAGGGTACCAGAGCAATCCATGTTCAGAGCATGTTTGGGAATTGGTCAAAGTGGGCTTATAAGTCGCCGAGACATGTTTGGTAAACACGTTTTTTAGATAATCTAGCTTATTTTTTGGTGGCTTATAAGTCGCCACATAGTTTGACCAAGTAAAAGACCACTATATCCCTTGACTCTTAAAGAAAATTCAGAAGCCTTCTATCATCTATCTTCAGCCCCTCTTTGTTCATTTTGACGGCAGAGATGGATTATAAGCCGCTCACTTGCCAATCAATCTACTATTGGAAATGGATTTGATCCATTAAATTTACCAAGCACTTCAGATTATATCCACTTGAATTTATAAGCCATTTGTGAATTATAATCTAAAGTTGCCAAATATAGCCCAAATCCAACTAACCACCAATTTAAAATGTGGACTTTATAAAAATTGATACCCCTGCATTTATACAAACCTCGACTCTCACCACGACTTCGGAGTTTTGGCCAAATGGGTAGACGGACTTCACGATTCAGAGTAAATTTTCATAAAAACTTTTCCATGCAACAGGAGCAACATCCTTCCTCTTCACTGAATACCAATACGTCGGCGTCTTCATGGTAGCCTTCGCCGTCCTCATCTTCCTCTTCCTCGGCTCCGTCGAGGGGTTCAGCACAAAAGGCCAGCCCTGCACCTACACCAAGGACAAAACCTGCAAGCCTGCCCTCTTCAACGCCATCTTCAGCACCGTCGCCTTCCTGCTCGGCGCAGTCACCTCCCTCTTCTCCGGCTTCCTCGGTATGAAGATCGCTACCTATGCGAACGCGAGAACCACTCTCGAAGCCAGAAAAGGAGTCGGCAAAGCTTTCATCACTGCGTTCAGGTCGGGAGCCGTGATGGGCTTTCTGCTGGCTGCAAACGGGCTTTTGGTTCTCTACATTTCGATTAATTTGTTCAAATTGTACTATGGTGATGACTGGGAGGGTCTCTTCGAGGCTATCACTGGTTATGGGCTTGGCGGGTCTTCGATGGCCCTGTTCGGGAGAGTCGGAGGTGGTATTTATACCAAGGCTGCCGACGTCGGTGCTGATCTTGTTGGTAAAGTCGAGAGGAACATACCTGAAGATGACCCAAGAAACCCTGCTGTGAGATTTTGCTTCCTTTACAACCTTTAATTGCACATAGACCCCCTTCAGCATCATTGTAGTTAGTTCCATTGTTGCAGATAGAACCCCGGGTTGACTCTTTTGACCATATGAAATTTTTGCAGATATTGCCTCAGGGTGAAATTATTAAAACTATAGGGTACAGTAAATTGAAACCAGCAATGCTACAGGGGCTCTGAGTGCCGCTAGCTCTTCTATTGACGGTGGTTTCTTGTTATGAGGATAAATTAATTGCTGACGGAGTTTTGAAATTTTTTGTTACAGGTGATTGCTGATAATGTTGGTGACAATGTTGGAGACATAGCTGGAATGGGTTCAGACCTGTTCGGTTCGTACGCGGAGTCATCGTGTGCTGCTCTTGTTGTTGCTTCGATCTCTTCGTTTGGGATCAACCACGATTTCACTGGGATGTGTTATCCGCTTCTTATTAGCTCCATGGGGATCGTTGTTTGTTTGGTGACAACTCTGTTTGCTACCGATTTCTTCGAGATCAAGGCAGTGAAGGAGATTGAGCCTGCACTGAAGAAGCAGCTTATTATCTCCACCGCGCTGATGACCCTCGGTATTGCGCTCGTCAGTTGGTTGGCCCTCCCCTCTTCCTTCACTATCTTCAATTTTGGCGCGCAGAAGCAAGTAAAGAACTGGTAAGCAATATCTTTAGACGATTGTCCTGGTATCTGACGACAGTGTAACGACTCGATTAATTGTACTTAAATTTTCCAGGGAGCTATTCTTCTGTGTTGCGATCGGGTTATGGGCTGGACTGGTTATTGGATTTGTCACCGAGTACTATACCAGCAACGCATACAGGTAATAGTTATTGGATTTGTCACGAGTCCAAGCGTACTTCACCATATATTCATGTAATTGTTCTTTGAATATGAGAGCGAATCTAATCTTGTGTCTTAGACCAAACCCACACATTGAGCTGAATGATGCAAGGTTTAACACCATTTTTGTTCTCTTTTTTCTGTCAGTCCCGTGCAGGATGTCGCGGATTCATGCAGAACTGGAGCTGCCACCAATGTTATCTTCGGTCTTGCTTTAGGATACAAATCTGTTATAATTCCAATTTTCGCTATCGCTCTCAGTATATTTGTTAGTTTTAGCCTTGCTGCTATGTATGGTATCGCCGTTGCTGCTCTTGGTATGCTGAGCACCATTGCCACTGGGTTGGCTATCGATGCTTATGGACCGATCAGTGACAATGCTGGAGGGATTGCTGAAATGGCTGGAATGAGCCATAGGATTCGTGAGACCATTTTTGTTCTCTTTTTTCTGTCAGTCCCGTGCAGGATGTCGCGGATTCATGCAGAACTGGAGCTGCCACCAATGTTATCTTCGGTCTTGCTTTAGGATACAAATCTGTTATAATTCCAATTTTCGCTATCGCTCTCAGTATATTTGTTAGTTTTAGCCTTGCTGCTATGTATGGTATCGCCGTTGCTGCTCTTGGTATGCTGAGCACCATTGCCACTGGGTTGGCTATCGATGCTTATGGACCGATCAGTGACAATGCTGGAGGGATTGCTGAAATGGCTGGAATGAGCCATAGAATTCGCGAGAGGACTGATGCCTTGGACGCTGCAGGAAACACAACTGCTGCCATTGGAAAGGTAATCTTTTTTCCTTCAGATGTATGTATTCATTAATCAGGACTTCACATGCCCTTTACAGAATTCAATTATATTATGTTTGTACGTTCACCTATTAGAGCATGTAGTCTCGTCGACTTGGCCTTTCAGGTTTTGTTACTTGAAACAAAACCTGATGAAGAAAAGATACAAAAAAAAAGAGGAGGAAATAATAGCAGATTTCGATCATCTTTTACTGTCAATGAGCAGTTGATTGAGATCATTACTTTCAATCATAATCAACTTAGTATTGCCTAGTTGGATGGTTGTACCCATTCCAAAAACTAACACTTCCTTAACCCCGTGAATTGCTCTCGTATCCACATTCACTAGGGAAAATTATAACCATCCACTAAAGAATAGACGATTACGATTAAAAGCAGTAATATCTCCACTATTTTTTGGCAGTGCAGAGGATCCAAACCCAGTAATTCTCCACCTTCTCCGGTTTTTTACATTTGGATGTGAAAAGAGAGATTTTTTTTTATTAAACTCTAACCAAGTTTGAACCCAATTTTGGTTGATGTCAACTTCACCCTCGAGTTTTGTCCTAGGGTTTCGCCATCGGTTCAGCTGCCCTGGTGTCCCTTGCCCTTTTCGGTGCATTCGTAAGTCGTGCAGGCATTAAAATGGTCGACGTCCTGACCCCCAAAGTCTTCATCGGGCTGATTGTTGGTGCTATGCTTCCTTACTGGTTCTCGGCCATGACCATGAAGAGTGTGGGCAGTGCAGCTCTTAAGATGGTTGAGGAAGTTCGTCGTCAGTTCAACACCATCCCCGGTCTCATGGAGGGTACGGCTAAACCTGATTATGCGACCTGTGTCAAGATCTCGACTGATGCCTCCATCAAGGAGATGATCCCTCCTGGTGCTCTTGTTATGCTTACTCCCCTCATTGTCGGAACTCTGTTTGGTGTCGAGACTCTCTCTGGAGTTCTTGCCGGCTCTCTGGTATCCGGTGTTCAGGTAACAGATCATTTTTTTGATGAGTGCCATCAATTATAACATTCTAGTATTACAAGACGCAAATATGTGTGACCCTTTCTCATGAATCAGGCAGCCTGGGTGTATCTCCAATTTTACAATGCGTCGTGTTAGAGTAATACTTGCAGTATTATTCTCTCTTGATATATTGCTCACTCATTGATGCAAGTACTCTCTCTTTGCAGATTGCAATCTCCGCATCCAACACCGGTGGAGCGTGGGACAACGCAAAGAAATATATCGAGGTGAAAAATACCTTCCCGGATGCTTGATCACACGTTTCACACGTCTCTCGGCCTGTTATTAGATGCTATTAAACTAGAGAAGAACTCTAAAGTTGCGATGAGGGTTAAACGTTACAGACTTTATATTCTAACACGCACCACGGGTTGAGCCCCTTTCCATGGGCCAAAACCTGATATCTTTTAATTTGCTTTAAATACGTGGCTGGTGGATTTGAAATTGGACTGTTTTGATACCATCTTAAATTTAAGTTCCTTTTGATTGTCCTCCTGCAGGCGGGAGCTTCTGAGCACGCTAGGACCCTCGGCCCTAAGGGATCCGAACCCCACAAGGCTGCGGTCATCGGCGACACCATCGGAGACCCCCTCAAGGACACGTCCGGCCCGTCGCTCAACATCCTTATCAAGCTCATGGCCGTTGAATCTCTCGTGTTCGCTCCGTTCTTTGCGACCCACGGGGGCCTCCTCTTCAGGATCTTCTAAGGACTGAAGAAGCAAACCATCGTCAGGACTCGATCGGTGGTTGCTTCTTCTTCAGCATCCTCTTCTCGTTTGCAAAACAATATTGCCAGCATCCCCCTCGCCTGTTTTCGTTCGTTGTCCATAAAACATCACCTCGTTTTTTTGTTTGGCTGTAAGCAGCTCGATCGAGGGATGAATGTCAGTTGAGTTCCCGGATTGTTTCGGGCTAAAAGCAAATTTTCCAAACTTATATTAGTAGGTAGTAGATGATGATATAAAATGTTTGGGGATCGATGCTGGTTGTGAGATTAATGGTTAATTACCATCGCAAGGTTTTTCCATGCAGCTGGTTGTTCTGTCTTTTATTACTTTAAATTTGGGTGCAGTAGATGGTTAGTCAAAATTTTATGGCTTTTATTTTGGACGTGATTTGGTGTGGAAAATTTTATGGCTTTTTCCAAATTATGAGGGTTATTGCTGCGATTAGCATAATTTTGAACAATTTGTTGTTTGGACTCAATTGGTAGTCAAGCTCAAGAAGCTTTGAGCGGTAAAGATGATGAATTATATGATGAGATTAGACAAAAGAAAAAAAACAATTTAGAAGGAGAAAAGGGTAGAATAACAGTTGATTCACGAGCAAAATTTTTAAATCATGAGAGTGTGTTCCTCGAAATATTCCTCGTTGTGTTGCAACTCTCTTTACAAGCTCAACTCCATACGCACCGGTTGCTCGGTTAGCACCGAATGTACCGACTGAATCCTGCACCATCAGAAATGAAAGAAGACACGATGAAAAGTTTTTAGCTCGGAATAGGTCGAAATTTGTAATTAATTTTGTAAATAGGTCTATTTTAAAAATTTGTCCTTAGAGGAAGGGGGAAGCGCCAGAGCTAGAGGACTTAGCGGTGTAGCAGGATCACAAGCTAGAGGAGGCAGGCGTAGAGCGAGGCTTTAGGTTATGGAAAGTAGACAATTGTTGGCTAGCCTTTAGAGGTCCAAGTGACAATAGTGGCGGAGTCACATTAGCCTTGTCCTGGGCAGCTGCCCAGGACAAGATTTGAAAATATATATATAGCAATGTCTGTACATAATTTGAGCTGAATTTATAGAATATTTGGAATTAGTTTATAGTTAACTGGAGAGATTATGTGGAGGACTAAGAAAGAGAATCTATTGTGATAATTAATCATTTATGATGCGTAATTAAATCGGCACACAACCCTGAAAAATTACTCTCGGATGAGTCTAACAGTGTCGATACATAATTAATGAGGAGGTTTTCTTTTTTCCCCTGAGGAAGGTGAGGGCGGCGAACACGTCGTCGGCGATGCAGAGAAAGACATTCTGATGCGCTCTTGAGGTGTTTTAGACCACCTTTATTTTTAGCCCAAGGCAAAAAATAATCCTGGCTACGCCTGTTAGGGATTCGAAACAATCAATCGAACCATTGCCCTTCCGGACCTTGTGTTGAAAGTAGGAAAGTAGGAATAATACCACAAATAAAGATCTAACCTTGCAAAAATAGAAAAGGAGACGAACACACAGATTTAACGAAGTTTGGCAACGTGCATACGTCCTCGGGAGCCACACCACACAATCTCTTTATTAATTGAAGAAGAATTACAAGCTCTCAAACTAGGTTTAATCTCTCTGAGATTCTCTCTCTTCTTGCAGTCAAAAAACTCTCTTTTTTCGTATTGTTGCAACCCTAAAAACGTTTAAGGTATTTATAGAGTCCTGGAGAAAACAGAATCTAAAACAGTTTAGGAAACTGTTTGACTGTGTCGCGGTCGACCGTGCCAAACGACAGAAACTCCCAGATTTCCAGAGAGTTGAGCGGTCGACCGCCGCGGTCGACCGAACCAAAAACCCGAGACCAAAAATCCTACAGGGTTGGCGCGGTCGACCGCCTTCAGCGACTGCCTTCAGCTTCAGCTCCTCCAACTCTTGTCGACCGCCGCGGTCGACCGTGGATCTGTCTGCTTGTTTTCTCGTCGTTTTGATTCCAGCTCTTGTCTCAACTTTGGGTCTACACCTTAGACTAACAATCTCTCACTTGGAGACCAAAGTGCCTGCAGTGAGTTCACCCGAACTCTCCCCTTCTTCACATGCATCTTCTCCCCCCGAAAAAATTATTTCTTCAATCAACAATATCACGACGATCGTGTCGATCCTCGTAGTGTGGCTCCGCCTTCGTCTTCTACTCGTGAAGGCCAACTGAAGTTGCGCACAACTCCAGTTTCTCAATGGTGACCGCCTTCGTCAACATGTCCGCCGGATTTTGACTCCACAAAATCTTCATCAAATGCAACTTTTCGTCTTCAACTAGCGAGCGTATAATGGTATTTGACGTCGATGTGCTTCGTTCTGGCATGATATACTGGATTCTTGGCAAGATGTATAGCGCTCTGGCTATCACAATAAAGAACTCCTCTCCCTTGCTTCAGATCCAACTCTTCCAAGCACCTGTTCAATCAGATCATCTCTTTACTTGCTTCAGTCACCGTGACATACTCAGCCTCGGTTGTAGATAAAGTCACAATCTTCTGCAGACGTGAGACCCAGCTCACTGCTGTCGACGCTAAGGTATAAACATACCCCGTGGTGCTTCGCCTCGTATCATGATCACCGGCGAAGTCCGCATCCACGTATCCCTGCAGCACCAACTCCTTCCTCCTGAAACATATATCCACTTCACGGCCTCCCAATGCTGCTTTCCTGGATTGCTTGTAAATCTGCTCACAACTCCCACTGCATGGGCGATGTCTGACCTCGTGCAAACCATCGCGTACATGAGACTCCCAATAGCCGAAGAATATGGCACCCTGCTCATATGCTCTCTATTTGTATCTGTCTTAGGCGATTGCTCCTCAGATAGCTTGAACTGACTTCCAAGGGGTGTGCTAATAACTTTAGCCGATTGCTCCTCAGATAGCTTGAACTGACTTCCAAGGGGTGTGCTAATAACTTTAGCATTCTGCATGTTAAACCTCTGAAGTACCTTCTCAATGTATTCAGCTTGGCTCAATCTTAATGTCCTTTCAGCTTCATCCCTGCTGATTCGCATTCCTAGAATCTGCTTCGCTGCACCCAGATCCTTTATTACAAATTCCTTTGCTAGCTGCTTCTTCAAACTGTTTATCTCCTCCAAACACGGTCATGCTACCAACATATCATCAACATACAATAACAAAATAATGAAACTGGACTCGAACCTTTTAAAATAACAGCAATGATCTGAATTGCATCTTCTGTAGTCATTGTTCTGCATGAACTTATCAAACTTCTTATACTACTGTCTCGGATCCTGTTTCAAACCATATAAGCTCTTCTTGAGCTTACACACTATCTCTTCCTTTCCTTCTTCAATGAAGCCAACAGGCTGCTTCATGTAGATTTCTTCATCCAAGTCACCATGAAAAAAGGCAGTCTTCACATCTAACTGCTCAAAAAAGAGGTCTTCTGCAGCCACCAAACTCAACACCACTATGATGGTTGTGAGTTTCACAACATGAAAAAATATCTCCGTGTAGTCCACTCATTCCCGCTGTTGAAACCCCTTTACTACTAATCTGGCCTTGAATCTCTTGCTTCCATCACTCTCTTGCTTGACCCGGTAGACCCATTTGTTATGTAAGGTCTTCTTCTGTGCAGGTAGCTGGGCTAACTCCCAGGTCTCATTAGTGAGTAGAGAATCCATCTCCTCTTGCATCGCATGCTCCCACTGCTGAGATTCACTCACTTACATTGCCTCTTCATAGCACTCCGGCTCACCGCTATCTGTCAATAATAAGTAATCAAGAGATGAAAGATATCTGAGATTTGGTTTGGGTACCCTGGATGACCTCCTAAGCTCTATGCCCTGGGTAGTTTCTTTTGCACCTAGAGCCTCCTCCGTTCTGTGGTCAGAACAAACATCATCACCCCTATCTGAAAATTCCTCTATATCCATGTACTCAGATTCATCTGTATCTAAAATGTTGCTCCCACTGCTTTGGCTATCCTTGGCATCTTCCTTGTTCTTGTACATCATATCCTCATTGAATATCACTTGGCATCTTCCTTGTTCTTGTACATCATATCCTCATTGAATATCACGTCCCTGCTTCTGATGATCTTCTTGTTCTTCTCATCCCAAAGGCGATACCCGAACTCATCAATGTCGTATCCAATGAATGTGCACTTCTGTGACTTAGCTTCTAGCTTGCCCCTGATATGATCACTGATATGAACATAAGCCACGCAACCAAATACCCGCAAGTGTGAGAGATTTATTTTCTTGCCACTCCAAACCTCCTCTGGAATCCCAAAATCTAATGGAACTGATGGCCCGTGATTAATAAGGTAAGCTGCCGTATGCACCGCATCCGTCCAAAATATCTTAGGCAGACCTGCATGTAATCGCATGCTCCTGGCATGCTCTGTCAAGGTCATGTTCATCCTCTCCGCAATGTCGTTCTGCTGCTGCGTCCTTGGAGTAGTCCTCTCTAAGGGAATACCATTCGTAGCACAGAACCTCTTGAACTCCTCCAGCTCGTATTCTCCATCATTGTCTGATCTCAGACATTTCACCTTCAGATCTGTCTCATTCTCCACCATGGCCTTCCACTTCTTGAAGATTCTAAACACTTCTGACTTGTGCTTCATGAAGTAGATCCACACCTTCCTCGAGTGATCGTCGATGAAGGTAACATAATATCTCGAACCGCCAAAAGAAGACACACTGGCTGGACCCCATACATCTGTATGAATCAACTCTAGCTTCTGAGCCTTAGGTGGCCTTCCACCCTTCTGAAAACTAACCCTCTTCTGTTTCCTAAAGATACAGTCTTCACAAACCCCGACTTCCACGGCGTCGATCCCGGTTAGCTTTCTTGTAAATGTAAAATTTTCATCCCCTTTTCGCTCATGTGCCCTAGCCTGTTGTGCCACAGATCTGTACTCTCTTTGCCAACTACAATTGCGAGGGTGTCACTCGTATGTAAGGTGAGGTAGAGAGTTCCTAACTTGTTGCCTCGAGCAACTATCATCGTACCGTTGGAGATTCTCCACGAATCCCCTGTGAATGTCGAAACATAGCCTTCTGCTCCAAGCTGTCTCACCGAAACAAGATTCCTTTTCAGTTTCGGTACGTGTCTCACGTTCTTCAAGGTCCACTTAGAGCCCTTCATCTGAATCTGCACTTCACCCTTTCTAACAATATTACAGGGCTCATTATTCCCCAAATATACTTTTCCAAAGTCCCCTGCTACAAAATTCTGAAATAGCTTCCTGTTAGCAGTGGCGTGGAAAGAGGCTCTTGAATCGATGACCCAAGAATCAGAATCGCTGTCCATTG